GTACACCAAGCACTGTGCTAGAAGAGGTGTTGTCTGTACTCCCAGTCTAACTCCCTGATACGTGCGTTCTGAAATGTATAATAAGGGGACTTTTAAAAGTTCATGAAAATGGAATTGGAAGATAATTTTTGGGTGCAGAAGTTTTGCAAATGTGTGCATTTTTTCCAAAATCCCTTGTACAGTGTACCTTGGGAACCCAGGAGGGGTAGCAGGAGAGCATGTCAGACAATGAAGTCTTCACTAAAACTGGAGCAAGGTAGGAGTCAGTCCAGCTGATAAGAAGTCCCCACAGGGAAAGGTCTATAATAGGAATGGACATGTGCTATTTGGAGAATGAGGTTGGCTGTGTTGTGGGTTGAGAATGATGAAAAATGAGACTTCTTTTAAGCAGCACAGAAACCAGTATAGCAAGAGCTCTGGAGACAGACTCCAGAGTTTGAACTTGAATCCAAGGCAATGAAACCTTGGGTGCAGAGATGCTGAGAGATGCTTCCTCCAGCCATCCATCTCTCTAACCACAGGAGGAAGTCCAAAGTAATGGAGTAGATAGCAACTGAACACTAGCATTCAGGTCTCCGCTAATGTGCCTGGGAAAGTTATGTAAGACAGTCTTAATGCTTAATCCACTACCACCCAAATGAGAGACCAGGATGAAGCTCCTGATTCTTGGTCTTTATCTGGCCCAAACCTGGCCATTGTGTCCATTGATTCACTTCCCAAATGCCTGCAACAGCTGAGGATAAACCAAGCTACCCCCAAAAAACTGGAACTCCATCCAGGCCTCCCATGTTAGAGGCAGTGCTCCAAGTACTTGCACCATCATCTGCTGCCTCCCGATGCATGCATCCACAGGAAGCTGGAATAGGGACCAGAACCAGGACTCTAACCCAGGCACTCCCATAAGGAAGGCAGGCATCCTAAATGACATCTTAACCACTAGGCTAGAGACCCAACCCAAACTTAGTTTGGTGTGTACTTAATTTCCTTTTAATTGAAAGGTAGAAAGATAGAGGACAGAGACAGGAGAGATCTTCCATGGGTCGGTTCACTCCCCAAATGCCTGCCTCAAACTGGGAGCCCAGAACTCTTTCAAGTGGATAACAGGGACCCAAGTATTTGACCCCTCACCTGTTGACTTCCAAGAATATGCATTATTAGCAAGAAGCTGGATGGAAAGTGGAGTAGCCAGGACTCAAATCAGGCCCCTGCATGTGGTTTACCACTGCCCCAAATACCTGACCCCAAACTTATCTTTTAATTTCATTTTCCACAAACTCTGTAGGGTCCCCTTAGATATAGTACTTAGCCTCATCCCTGGTATTAAGTTGTCCATTTTTTTAATTGAACTGAAATCCCAAAAACCTAATTGAATAAAGGTACAGCAGAAGGAAAAGAGTAGAAGACAACAAATCATGGTAAAACCTCAAATATCCAAAGCTTCCTAGAAATGAGTCATCCTGGAGATGAAACAGTGAAGATTTAAATCCAGAAAGCAGAGAACCCAATTCTTTCTGAGAGTTTCTCTTGCTTTCCCCAGTCTTTCTGAACTCTCTGGTCCCATTAGTCCTCCTCTCCATCTGCTTTTCTTTTTTCTGGGTTTTTCTGTTGCTCTTTCAAAGTCTCACAGTGGCCGAGCTTATCACAGATCCCCATTCTTTCTGCTCTTGCGAATTCACTGCAGTGTTTCTTGGACCACCCTTCCAGGCCTTTTTCCACCTCATCCAGTCCTCTTATCTAGAGGATTCTCTCATCTCATGGCAGCATCCTCTTATCTGGAAATCCTTCCATGCATCCTCAGTTCCCAGGGCTTCTGAGTACTTCTCTCTTCTGTGCACATTGCACTACCCTGTGCTTCTCTCTCTCTCTCTCTCTCTCTCTCTCTCTCTGTCTCTCTCTCTCTCTCCCTCTCTTTCTTAAACTGGAGAATCGTTCCACCCTTAAATGTCCACTGATCCAGGGGCAGACCCTTAGTGCTGCCTGCTCACCTTTCCCTCATTATTGCTGGCTCTGAGGCAGCCAAGGTGTTGTTTGCTGGTTGGTTGAACTGTGACTTCATCTCTGTGCTAGCCTACTCGCCTTCTTGTTCTTTCTATGTTTCCTGATGTTTATGTTACACTTGTCCAATTGGGCAGCACATTGGCACCCACCAGAGTCTTGGCTCAGCCTTACCCATTCATCTTGCTCAAAGCACCGGTAAACTCAGCCTCTCTCTTCAGTTCTATAAGTCTTGAGTGCTTGCCCATTGACCCAAATGCGAGTGGAGGGGAGTGGGAACTTGCTCTCTAATGGCCCTTGGAGTTATCTGCTTTGCAAGTCTGCAGTGCTTCAGCTGCCTCCTTTCTTGCTCCTCTGCAAATTCTGTGCAGCTGTCCTCCAGTGTGTCTTATGCCATCTGCAGTCTGGGAACTCCAGATAGCCCCAGGACAGAAGAAAGCAAGAAGAGGACAAGGAGATACCATGCTAAGGGGTCATCCAAGATCAGAGAAGAATGAAAGCAGACAACCAAGCAAAATTGATGAGCACTGAGCTCATCTCCAAAGTCGTGTTCCTCAGGCCAAGCAGGAAGGTCAAACTGGAGTGGAAAGTAGGAGGAAGGCAGAGTTCTACCTGGAAAGCAATGATGGGTTCAATGTTCCCTTACACTTGTAGAACCTCATTTGAGCATTTGATTTTCCCAACAGTCCTTTCACTTCCATTCAACAGTTGAGTACCCTGTGTAGTTAAAGCCTGAAGCTACAATGATTAGCCTTTTCTCTAGGAAATGTCTAAGTGGATAGACCTTTTTATCTGTATTTATTTTTTATTATGTATTTATTTTAAGATTTGTTTATGCATTTGAAATGCAGAGCTAGAGAGAAAGAGAGATCTTCTACCCAATGTTTCACTGCCCAAATGGTTGCAATGGCCAGAGCTGGCCAAAGCAGGAACCCAGGGGTCAGTAGCTTCTACCAGGTTTCCTATGTGGGTACAGGAGTTCACACACTGGGGCCATCCTCCACTGATTTCCCGTGTCCAATAGCAGGGAGCTGGATAGAAAGTAGAGCAGTTGGAACAAGACTTTTATAGGAACCACAGAAGATGGTTTCATCTACTATGCCACAACACCAGCCCCAATTTCCTTGTTTTACCATCTTTTTCCTTCCTTAGAGTACAAGCTCAATGAAAGCAAGAATAATGTCTGTCTTCTCCCGCACCAAATCCTCTGCAGGTAGCAACAACACCTACTGAATTGTAGCCACTCAAAATACAGCAATACAAAACAAACAAATTGAAAACTTCATAGCCCACTGACTACCTTTGATTTTGTAAAGGATGGTGTGCAGAAGGCAATTGCTTAGTCTGAAACTAGTAGCTGCTCAACAGACATGAACTAAACTAAATGAACCATGATGACCAGAAACACTTATTTAGCACCTACTGTGTGCCAGCTCTGGTGCCAAGCACTTTATGTTCATCCACTCATTTAATCCTCAGAACCAATCTATGAAGTATTAGCATTGTCTCCATTTTATAGATAAGAAAACTGAGGCCTGAAGACTCAACGACTTGTAAATGACAGAGCTGGAAATGGAACTCAAACCTACTGGCTCCAACTCCCTAATCCTACACCGTTTTCCAACCATAAATGCTCCAACTGAGCTGCAGGCATACAGAGCCATTGCCAAAGGCAATTCCTCCAGAAAGAGTGAAGGTTGAAAGCCAGCTCTGTGCTCTGTGCCTGTGCCTCTTCTGCTCTGTGACCGGCTACAGACCCACTGGAAGGGAGGCATAAAGAAGGATCTGAGACACTGGCCCTGTGGTGCAACAGCAAAGCCTCTGCCTGCGACGCCAGCATGCCATATTGGAGTCATTCAAGTCCAACTGCTTCACTTCTGATTCAGCTCCCTGTTAATGTGTCTGGGAAAGCAGTAGAAGATGACCCACGTTCTTGGATCCCTGAACTTTCGTGGGAGACCTGATGAAGTTCTTGGCTCCTTTCTTAGGCCTGAACCAGCCCTACCCTTTGCGACCATCTGGAAAATGAACCAGAAGATGGAAAGTGTGTGTGTGTGTGTGTGTGTGTGTGTGTGTGTGTGTGTGTGTGTGTGTTTCTCCCTCTCTGTAACTCTGCCTTTAAGATAAATCAATCTTTTAGAAAAAGATTTATTTGCCTTGCATGCAACAGGATCCCATATGAATGCCAGCTCATGTTCTGGCTGCTCCACTTTCCATTCAGCTCCCAGCTTGTGGCCCGGGGGAGCAGTGGAGGATGGCCCAAAGCCCTGGGACCCTGCACCCATGTTGGAGACCCAGAGGAGGCTCCTGGCTCCTGGTTTTGAATCAACTCAGCTTCAGCCATTGCAGCCACTTGGGGAATGAACCAGCAGACGGAGGGATCTTTCTATTTCTCCTCTTTGTAAATTTGATTTGCCTTTCCAATGAAAATAAATAACTTTTTAAACAACTTATTTTCATTAGAAAGGCAGATCTACAGAGATAAGGAGAGACAGAGAGAAAGATCTTTACTCACTCCCCAAATGACCACAGCAGCCACAACTGAGCTGATCTGGATCCAGGAGCCAAAAACTTCTTTGGGTCTCCCACATGGTGCAGAGTCGCAAGGCTTTGGGCTGTCCTCAACTGCTTTCTCAGGCCATAATCAGGGAGTTGGATGTAAAGTGGAACAGCCGGGACACAAACCAACACCCATATGGGATATTGGCACTTGCCAGGCATGGATTTAGCCAGTGAGCCCTTGTGCAGGGCCCATCCAATAAATCTTAAAAAAAAAAAAAGTCTAAGTATTCATGTAGGAAAACAACTAGAGTAAACCTCAAACTATTTCTGCTTCATTGCAACTGGGGACACATGGAGAAATAATACTAAATGGGGAGATCAGCTCATCTGATGTGCAAGGTGATGTGTGTGTAGGAAGTTGGGGCGGGGCAGTGAGCAGGGGAAAGTGGAAGAAAGGTTTGGTGAAACCTGACAAAACCCTAGCAGCTCGACAGAATCAAGGATAAGAGATTATAGCAAAGCATTTCCAATCTACTCAGCTTAAGTGGCTTTCAGCTTCTGGTTGGGCTTCTGATCACACACAAAAAAACCAGCACCATGATCATGACCTTCTTCTCCCGACTAGATCTCCAGGAGTGCCTCCAGACCCTCTCTGTTTTGCAGTGGATCCCTGGTTACATCATTTTAGGTGAGTGAATGCTGAGGGTTGGAATACACATGGGAATATTACCAGAGACCAAACATCCACCAGCAAGGAGGTTCCGGTGAGGTCATCTGGTTGGCCCCCACTCCCTGGGAAGAACGGGCCCAGAGTGAGGCTGTGACTGTTGTGATTTAAAGACTGTCTCTGCCTGTTCAGGGGCTGTCCCCTAAGAGCTAGCTGATAGAGTCTTTTTTGGGGTCAGAGCAGTGTTGGTGTTGCTAAGCAGGCATAAAGGGGATTTTCAACTTTAAGATCAGGCTCAGAGAATTCTGGAAAATCTGGGAGCTGCCTGCATGACTCATTAGAGTTATAATCAAAGGGCCAGTGTTGTTCAGTGGGCACAGGGCAGGGCAGCTGTCAGCACTGGGCAAATGCACTGACGACTCCAAGGTATTCCCCTGGGGAACCAGGACTTTCTGGGTGGTCGGCCACACGGGCAAGCTTGGAAACTGGATGAGGGGAACTCAAGTCATTCTGACGGATGAGCCAGGTAGGACCCAGCAGAACAGAGGTTAACTAGGGCCCTTCTAGGTCCAGAATTCCAGGAGAGAGCTGGAAAAGAGGAGGAGTGGGGAGGGCAAGGAATTTTGGACTCGAATAGAAAAATGACCTCCTTATTTTGTGCTAATATCCAGCTGAAATGTGGCAGTCCATTCAATGATGAGTGTGTGCTATAAACCACGGAAGCAGTAGCAACTCCTATAACTCTGTCAGGAATAGCTATCATATTTTAGGCAATAGTCGGATGACTATATTTTTAACATAATGGGTTTCCTTTGGAAGTTTGGGCATTTTATGTTTTGCATGTAGAAATGTTATTCAGAAAGGGAAATGAGAAAGAGTTCGCAGGCTTCGAGAGACTGCCAAAGGATGCCTGAGCCTTTGAACACCGAATCATGCTAAGCCCATCAGCGACTGGACTTCAGCTGTGTCAAGGAAAGGATGTGAAGGGAAGACTGGAGAAAGACTGACTGATGGCTGCTAAGTTATAGCTAGAGAGTTCTATTGTCCAGCTGGGAGACTATAGACAGTGTTAATATCTTATGTATTTTTGTATTAAAAACACCTAGAAGATAGGATTTGGGATACCTTCACTATAAAGAAATGCTAAATGCTTGAAAGAATATATGTTTACCCTAATTGTTCATTACACAGTGCATACATATAAAACCCATCACATAGTACCCTGTAAATAGACACAATTGTCATGTATCTGTTGAATTTTTGTAAGCAAAAAAGTTGAGAGAATGCAATATTTTGTGGGGAAAAAGTGATGGTGGGGGAAAAAGGAGTAAATTTATTTATTCTGTTTATTAGTTTTTTTTTTTTTGTCTGCCTTGGTACCTAATTTTACTTCCTGGAAAAAGCTCCTTTGAGAAGGTTCAGCTAGGGTAGTTGGAGAGGGAGGGACAGGGATGTTCTGGGAGACTTGGCATTTTGGAGGCAGCCAACTACTTCTAGTCTGGGTCCCAGAGGGAGCATGCACAGAGAGCAAGTGTGTGGGAGTCAGTGTGGCCCTCTAGCGGTGCCCTCCAGCCCAGAAGGTCTTGGTACGGTATTGGAACACTAATGCCCAAACCATTCTGGCTCTTCTGGGACTGCTTTTTGCTTCAAATTGTCCTCATTTTTCTCCCCCCCCCCTCCCAAAATCATTGTTTATTTTTTTCTCTGTCCCTTTTGCTCTCTCAAAGACGGCAACAGGGCAGATGGTGTATCTAAGAGCCGGATGTGTAAGGGCTCTAGAAGGAAAGGTGGTCACCTCCCAGGAGTGCCTCCTGCCGTTTAACCTCACCAGCATAAGTCTTCCTGGAAGAGCTGAAAGGCTGGATTGCAAGAGGCCCCTGCACTAATGTGTCTGCAGGGTCAACACAAATAACAAATGTGAATACTTTCTTTTGTTTTCATTGAAAAGAAAAAGTCTTATTGTGGCAAAAGAAACAACATGAAATTCATCCTTTTCCCCGTTAATGTGCACTTCAAGGGCACATTCTTTCTTCTATGAGACCATCACTGCCATCCATCTCCAGAATCTCTCGTTTTCCCATATTAAAACTTTGCAGCTCTCTAATTCACTTTTCTTCTAGCCCCTGGCAGTCACCAGGTGAACCTCTGTCTCTGTGGACTTGCCAGTTCTAGGTGCCTTCCCTAACAGAGCCATGCATCATTTATGTCTTCTTGACTGGCTTATTTGACTCAGCATGTTCTTGGGCTTCATCCTTGTGGTAGCCTAGACCTGCATTTTTCCTTTACATGACCTTAGGGGACACACTCTGTATTGCTAATCCATTTGTCTGTTGATGGGTTTCTACCTCTTGGCACGGTGAATGATGCTGCTATGTGCACGGGTGGGCACACAGACCTCTCCGCAACCCTGATTTCAACTCTTGGAAACCGAACATTATTTCAGAAAGCTCATGGGAAATGGATGAAAAGATCAATTTACTTTGATGCCCAAGAGATTGTTATTCATGTTACACACTTTCCAGGCACTTTCAAAGACCTTCCTCCGTAGATTATGGATTTCAAAAAACTTTGGCACCCAAATAAGCTTTTCTCCACAGACTTTTGTGAGAACTTTGGTATGCCCAGCTGTGGACTTGGCACATCACAAGGTCATTGTGTTTCTTGATGTTCTGAAGTGCCATGCTGCTGTCCACAGTGGCTACACCATTTTACATTCCCCCAAAACAGTGTGATGGGCTTCTGATTTTACCACCACTCCCATATCAGTGTGCCAGTTTGAGCCCCAGCCACTCCATATTCAATCCAACTCCTTGCTAATATGCCTGAGAAGACAGCAGAGGAAGGGCCACGTGCTTGGGCACCTGTCACCCACGTGGAAGGCCCAGATGAAGTTCCAGGCTTCTGGCTTCAGCCTGGCCCAGCTTTGGCTGTTGTGAATATTTGAGTAGACCAAAGGATGGAAGATATATCCCTACGACCCATCCCCCGACTGTTGCTGTGCCTTTTAAATTCTTTTTTTCAAAGATGTGTTTATTGGGGCTGATGTGATGTAAAGCCACTGCTATGGTAAAGCCACTGTATGGTATAATATATGATGTAAAGGCTGTATGGGTGCTGATTTGTGTCCCAGCTGCTGCACTTCTGCTACAGCTTCCAGGAAAAGTAGCAGAACATGGCACAGGTACTTGGGCTCTTGACTCCCATGTGGAAAATCCAGATGAAGCTCCTGGCTTCAGCTTGGGCCAATCCCAGCCATTGTGGCCATCAGGTAACTGAATCTGCAGAGGAAAGTTCTCTGTCTTTCCCTGCCCCTGCCCATAGCTCCTTCATATGAACACATAAATCTAAAAAAGATATTTACTTCGGTTAAATAAACTTTAAATCCACACACAGTTTCTTTGCAATGTGCATTTCCATGAACTTTTTGAAGACACTCAGTTTCACAAATTCCAAAATATTTTTGTACCCAAATCAACTTCATTCCATTTACTGCAAATGTTCTGCAACAGCCTGTTATCCCTGAACCTCCCCATCTGGCAGTGGCACTAAAAAGCCCTTCTGTGGGCGAGCCTGCCTTCCAAGGCTGGCTCTGCACCTATCTCTTCTGCACTGTGCCACTATCTCCCCAAACTGTTGCAATGTCCTCTTTTCTGGTCCGCTCTCCGCTTCCAGGGGTGTCTTTCAAAAGTGTCTTTGATTACATCTCTCTCCTGCCCGGTATAGTCAGTGGTTTCCCATGGCCTAGTTGGGGCTGTACAAATGTGTTTGCTTGAGTGTTCAAGTCCCTCCTCCACTCGCTGGCTCCAATCCCTCACCAGCTCATCCCCTCCAGGAAGGTTGTGTTTCAGGCTATCTAATCACAAAAGAAACAGGTGCCCTATCATTCCCACACCCTCACCTCTGCTCTGATCATTCCCTCCAGTGGGAAGATGCCAGGAGAGCTCTGGGCTACCTACGGGCAACCCCTTGTTTGAGATATTACTCAAGCCAGAGCTACTCTGCAATGCTTTCCAGCCAACGTGAGACCACCTACCTACCTGTGAAAGTCTAGAGTGCTCCGTGTGGGAAGGCTGGGCAGCGACACTTCCATCTTCTGCCTGTTCTACCCAATAAACTCCCCAATAATGTCTGTGTTGCTGTGTTGCACATGATTATACTTCTCACTTGCCCAGGCCTGTCACTGCACTGATGATCTTTGCAGATTTCAGATTTTTGCTTCCTCAGAAACCTTCAAGGTTACCCTTTGTTATCTCTCTCTCTCTCTCTTTTTCTCTTTCTCTTAGCTACCTCTACTTTGTGTGGGGGGCCTGCCCTCTTTTTCTAACTTCTGATACTACAAAAACACAGGACACAGTCTTGGGGGACGGGTTAGCTATCTTCTGCCAACTACTTGTTTTGAGATCCTGTACAAGTATTATTTTTCTATGTGACCTTGAGCAAGTAAGACACCTGCCTCTACCATAGCAGAAACAGAGCCTAACCTCCCTCTTGGCAATGTTCTAAAGATGAATGAGATGATTAAAAAAAAATAAAAACCCTCAACAGATGTTCATTTTCTTTCTTTCTATTATAGAAATTGCATTACTGGGAGTCCACCCACTCCCACTTATCTTAGTCCATTTTTTCTTGCTCTAACATAATACCATGGAGGTGGGAATGTGGAAGCAATGCAAGGTTGTTGGCTTCCCAGATCTGATGCTTGAAAAGTCCACTGTCAAGATACAAGCCTCTGGGAAAGGTTTCCTAGCCATGCCATCCCCTGGTGGGGGAAAGAAGGACAACAGAACACAACCAAACAGAAGGGCAAGCAAGAGCTGAAGTCATTTTTATCAGAAGCCCTTCTAACCTCATCAGGTCCCACCTGTCAACACCAATGAATTAGACATTAAATTGCAAACACAATGCCCTTAGTGGATGCCCTCAGACTGTAGTACCATGACACAATCAACCTGGCTACTTGGTCAATAGATAAGCGACCACCACTTCAGAGACAGGCCCCCTAGATGCCAAGTTCATGGCAC